CGTATCCACGGTGCTGAATGACGAGCTAAGAAAGGCAATCCGGTGACGATGGATATTGTCCAGCAAAATGATCATTGGTTTCGTGCTCCGCAAAAGCGACTCCAATTGCTTTTGCACCTTTAAAAATATGTTAGTTAGTGAGCTACTCGTTGTTAATAGTCTAAGAACACCTTTGATGGGAACTGCATTCCTTTCCTATTTTCACAATCTAGTCTGGAATTCAAACTTTGCAATCTTTTGGTTAATTCAACTTTTTTTAAATTAACAACTGCATCCTCTATTTCAAATATTTCTTGTTCTACTGAACAAATGATTTTTATGCTAACAAACGCACAAAGTTCCTCAAAAAAAAAGTTACTGATTATATCATCAAATCGCCCTCTACATATCGCTTTCTGAAGAGACTGAGTTATTCAGTGTGCCGTCAAATATGCTACTTCTGAATTAAAAAAAAACCAAGAAAATCAAGAGTCGCTCGGAATGTCGGCAGGCCTGCATTACATGAGGCAGCGTGAAAACTCACCACCGACATCTACGATTAACGTGAACAGAGGTTGCTGATGATTTTAAAACAATTCAAAATTATCGGGGTTTTTTATGCTCTAATGATTATTAGTGATAAACAATAAGATATAAAGCTTCCTGAAAAAGATAATATATGTCTAATGCATAAGATGTAAACATTTTTTAAATTCAAAAGGGAACCTGTGCCATATTTCGATCATTATCATCTTCGCCAATTTTGATATCGACGACGGTATTTTGAAATGTTCCCCCAACCTTGATACAAAGATATCGAGCAAGCAAGCGAGCCAGATTCGATTTTCCGATACCAGTCGCACCGAATAGCACTAATCGACGATTTTGCAGCAGTGATTTCAAAAGCTGTTCGATTAACGAGCGCGGGAAAAGGCAATCCATCAGTAATCCATCGATGCTTCGTTGCGTCACACCTACAAATCCTCAAGCGTAGTTGTAAAGTATCGCGCACGAGAAAAAAGAAAACGGAATACTGTTGATATTACTGAGAAAAAATTTCAGTATTCTCGGATTTTTCAAAAATATTTTGAGTTGTGAGCCGGAATAACGGAATTTGATTGTCTTAACTGTTGACACGACCACAGAAATAGCGCAAAATTTCCAATGAATAATTCTTTTTCGAATCCTCAGGAAATCATGGTTCCGGTAAAAACTGAAAATCCCCTCCCCCCACTCCCCCACCCCTCCTCTTTTCCTCGTTCTACCATGTACCGTAATCATTCACATTAAACGCAGTGGGTTTTCACTGTCGCTACAGGATATGTCAAGGCACGTCAGCTCGCCTCGAGATTTTTCTCCAAATCCCAGAAAATCTTTTCGAGAGATAAAAAAAAAATAAAAATTTAATAAATTGCAAATTGAATAGTGAGTAAGTTGAAATTTTTCAAAATTTCCTTTCTGCATCTATGGGTTCCAAGTTTGTGCCCAAAAACAAAGAAAAAGTAAGTTATTACAAAAATCATGCAACTCTAAATGACCGTTTAAGATTAACAAATGAAGCCAGAAACCTTTCAAGAAAATGCGTATATCGTGCTTTTGGTTAAGTACATCGGCTGGCATTGGTGACGGCGCCGAATTGCTTTCCACGTCTCGAACGAAGTCGCCAAACTCATAACCAATTACGGATTCTCGAGCACTTAATTCGAGAGCTCCACTGGGATCAATTCTCGCTATATATTCCTGAAATTTCTATTCTAAAGCCCCGCAGATTACGAATATTGAAATCTTCTCAAGTAATTGGTAATGACAAGAAGAGTATTCTTTGGAAAAATTTCAAGCTTATTCATAAAAGTACCACACAGTTTGTTTTTTGGCATATTATGAGCTATCTGTGTGTAAAATTTATCGTACTCCAATTTTAGGAAAAAATGCTTTAAGACTTGAATTATTTAGGAGTTCACCAGATTTCAAGCATAGACTTCCTTACAACTCTTTGGCTGAAGTCTTCCTTGTAATGAGGAACATCCCTGTCTCGCCCTCCACCCTTCCTCCCCTTCTCTTCTTTCATCCTTTAAATTGCTAGTTTTTAGCAAATAGATCAAAAAAACTGCAAAAATGTGACGAAGAAAAAAACAAAGACCATGCATTTCATTGGCCACAACACTTAAATATTTTAAATTTCAGAAACTGAAAAATCCGGAAAAAATTTTACGTCGAACAGTCTGAAAAGCTCCGAATCGAAATCTTCCCAAGTAGTGGTAGCTGCAGGAAGCGTGTTGAAACCGATGGAAATTTCACCGGCATGCGAACGAGGCCTTAGCAGACCACTAAAATCGACGCTCACTGTTACCTTCACATAACTGCAGCCAGATATTTCTGAAATTTCGATAACTGTTAACGCAGAAGCAAAAATGTGACTCTCTATTGTCTTCTGACAGTTGTAGGGAAGTGGCTGTTTCGCTTACCAGAAAACTGAGTCCACTATGTTAAAATTCTAGGTCTACAGAACTTGGACGTGAGTAACCGCAACAGCAAGGGAACAGCAACACCAGAACAACTTGTAGGGGGAAATCATGTTAGTGATGCTACTGGAATGTCGGGTGCAACTACGCCAGGTCCTCTTATCGTGAGCTGCGTACCTTCAGTCAGTATACACCATTTATTCAATGAAACAGTAATCTCTCTGCAAAATGAAACATTTGAAAGGAGAGCCAGCAGAGTGACCAACAGCCCCCCTCGCAGCACCGGTCAAAGCAGTTGTAAAAGGTACTGACTTCCTAGCCAACGAAAAAAACTACGAAGTACAGCTGAACAAAGTATGCTTTTCAAAATGAAAGCAGTGGTATCCTGGAAAGTAGTGACACGAAAAAGACGAACTTGAGGTGAACGAACGCTCGCTTGACGGTGGCACTTCATAGACTGGATCCTCATCGGGTAATGCTTGCAGCGACTGCTGTGAGCTTGTTCGACTTTCGGCTCGCATTCGCCTTTCAAGCATCGTATAATTCTGCTTCAGGATCTTGTTTTCGTTCTGTAAAAATTCCAACAAATTTGTGACAGCAAATTATCACGCACTGGTTGATGGAAACCCGTGAACTTGCCGTGAACGTGAACCCGTGAACAGCATGAATATCAGCTTCAAGGATTCAAAATCAATGAGATATAGACTGAGCTCATGCTTCATTCAGTGCTAATGTAATGACAGGATTGCCCTAAATTGATTCCATGCTTTTCCCTGTATTGGTTTTCAGTGCTCAGTAGTCCAGGAAAAAGGACTTTGGCCCTTTTAGTGTCTTTCAAGGAAGTGCTCGGTGGTTTAAGTTCCTAGCGCATAGTGTTAGCGCATTTGATGCTATTTATTTTCTGCTTCATAGCCTCAAAAAACACATTTCATTTATCACTCTCAGCTTTTTCTCTTCCTCTCCCTTCTTTTATTAGTTAGCACTTTTCATCTTTTTATCTCTTTTTTTTTTTCATTTTTTGATTTATTTGCATATTTTATATATGTACATATACATATAAAATATGCAGAAAATATATATATATATATATCACCGCTAAAATCTTTCCTGCGCAGATTGAATATCTAATTACCCACTTTGCAAGAAAAAACATATAAGGTCCAATATCCCAAACAGAGTGATCATTAACAGGCAGTTATAACTGGGGGTAGTAATCCAGTTTTGCTGTGTGGCTTATGGCTTAGTGATTAAATTACTATGGTTCAGCACCTTCAGCCTATTAATCGTTTCCTTGAGGATATCCACTTCACGTGCTTTATCTAGTGCATCCAACCGAACATCTGTCAGTGCAGAATCTTTATCTTCCAGCTGCTTCTTCAGTTCGACCACCTGTGGTACAGATTCCAATTCGTCCAACCTGAAAAGATAAATTTTTGTCTTGATTACTAAAAATGTCAGAAACATTATAAGGAAGGCCAAGAATTTTGAAGGCAGTAATATTTACTTTTTGCTTATTCCTACAAGCTCTTTTTAGACGTCATTCTAGAACTGTCAGCTACACTATGCATGCCTACAAATTTCTTGTTCTCTTTTCAAAGCAAGTAGAGGAATGGATGGACGAAGGAGGGAGGAGAGGGGGATTGTAAAGCTGTAAAGGCAACTACTTAATGTCAACAACTTAATCAGCACTATTCTATTCTCCAGGTAAAAGAACTTGATTAAAAGTTCTTAACATTAGCAGTCATGAGAAAATCACATATGCACTGTTGACCTATTTCCCGCTTCCATTTAATCTCAACTAATTTTTTTTACAGGACTAGAATGCAACTAGTTCAATTCACGACTCTAGTTCAAACTCCTTTTGCGAAAGTTCCAGGAAAACCGGGATTGTACTGCATAGAGTGTAGCAGCTCAAAGACGCAGTGTGTGTACGGATGGCGTACTAGCAAAATATAGGTGCTTCAGTGGAGCACAAAGGCCGGTGGTGTAGTGGTCTAGCATGCAGCAACCTAACATAAAGACAAATGATTCGATTCTCTCACGGTCCACAACAATTTTCAAAGATGGGGCTCAGTCTGCGAGACACACTGTATGCCAATTCCTCACTGGGCTGCTGTTCCGCTTGGAAACATCGAAATTGGATAGGAGCTTGCCTTCAGCTTCTTAGACAATCCTCGGAAGAAATGGATTTACAGTGGCTCGCTTTCGGAAGAAAACGTCCAGTGCGAAGTGTCCACCTCAAATCTCGAGAAAGAACTCTACATGAGCGATTACAAGTCTAGAAGTAGCTTATTGATAAAGCTGTTGACCTGCTTGCACTACCCGAAATCGGTTTCAGAGTTGATGGGGAACCGGAAGTATGCATTGGTGAATGTTCAGCATCCGATATCGAACCACCACCTTTTGATTTCTTGCTCTTTGTAAATTTCGAGAACGAACTCCTGATCTGAAGTAACACTTTCTTTGTCTAAGTAGTAAAGAAACTTCACAAGACACAACAGCAACCAGTACATAACGCCATAACAAAAGCGTGGACAACGAAAAACCAACAATTTTTCCACGACCGATGACGTGCAGGGGTACGATAAAATCGAAAGTTACCTGACAATCAACGTTCGCTTTCTGCATAAATATATGTAAATCAGAAAGTATTATGTGAGTCTTTACATTCAAAACTAGCAAAAGAATGACCGCGAAGATTCAAAAACTTGACTTTACTATTACTTCAGTTAGGTACAGCTGCGAAATTTTTAAGTGATTATACCACATATTAATTATGCTAACCGCAACTCGTGTCTCACGCATACGTGCTTGCCGGCTTTCAGTCAGTACGTAGACATAAGTATATAAAACTAAAGTAAAAGACACACCTATACAGATAGCAATCTAAAAACAGATAGTTATGAATAAAAGTGGAAAACACTCACCCAGCTCTTTTTGCCCTGTTTTCCGAAGCTATTCAGGCTGCTCTTATCCGTTTTACTGCCTTTGCTCGAGGAACTCATCGAGGAACGATGACTGGTGACGCTTTCCAGTGACGGATGCCTCAATAATTCGCCTGCTCCATCCGGCTGCAACAGATGCAGGCATGAATTTCGTTTATTGCTAACTGTGCCTTTCGTACTTTAGGTAAAACACTCTCTACTGCCTGGATGGCAAGGAAAAAGGCTTCTTACCGACTGTCCTGGTGACCAATTTTTACGCTGTGAGATAGTAGCGATCGCCGCTACGTTGACCCCCGCGTTAATACTCATCACGCGTAGTTGTTCGATTTCGGCTCGTAGCTTCTGTACTTCATCTTTCTGAAATGGCAAAATCAAATTATGAAAAGCGTAAATCACTATGGACCAAAAAAACCTGAGCTGTCAAAGGCAAGGAGAAATCTTCGCCCCCCATCTTCCTGTCGTAAAAGTCCCGCGAAAAGTTGGCAACTGTTGAAAGGAGCTTGGTCAAGAGGGAGCTTGGTTTTCAAGCTTTTCAAGAGGGAGCTTGTTCCACGACTTCCACTTCCCCTCGCTCGGTATTTGTTCGCTTTGGGAAAGTAGCCGAAAGCAATCAAAATAATAGCAAGCTTTATGAATCACCAGCTGGCAAGGCTGATGATAGCTCCATCTTTGAGGGATAGTTAAAAGCAAGCTGATTGCGGATACAGCATTTGCTTGGTCTACCATCGAAATGAATGAACGATCCATAGGACTAGTCTGGCTCGTGAGTTATAATTGAGTTAAAAGATAACTCAGACTGGAACGCACCAGGCGGGCCGGTGCGATTATGCGTTTTTGCACTTTTCGTACCGTAGCAAGATCGCAAGGACTCAGTGCAGCTAACCCTGCGAAATACTGGCCCTCGAAGTTCCGGAAATTAGTTGTGCAACTATGTGGTACGTCAGTTGTAGGTGTCGACTTCAGTGACCCGACAAATGGAAAGTTGCTTGTTCGCAAAAAAAAGGCCACGCTAGAAGAGTTAAATTTAAAATTTTTTAGTCGCACATGAGCGGGGAACATACCTCTTAAACCGGGAAGTTAATTGTGCAGCTATTTGGTATGTCAGTTGTAGGTGTCGACTTCAGTGACCCGACAAATGGAAAGTTGCTGGTCCGCAAAAAGCTCCACGCTAGAGTTAAATTTATAATTTTTTAGTTGCACATGAGCGGGGAACATACCCTTAAAATTAAAGCCTCCAGCTTTTCCCGTTCCCGAGTTAGAAGTTTTCCCAACAAAATTTTCACGCGTCCGTGCGTGAGTACCAGACTGTTTTAAGAAGCTGGATCTAAAATTCTTTGGTCATACATAGATAGGGAAAATAACCCTAAAGTTTCAGCTTTCTAGCTTTTTTCGTTCCTGGGTTAGTGATTTCCGCGCCAAAATTTCCAC